GCCGGAGCGGCAGGGCAGCACGTCTCCCCGTGCATGCGCAACTGCTGTTCCGACGGGCGTTGTGAACGGGGTGCTTTTCCTGTGGCCAGATGAGAGTGCAGAGGGTGTAGAGCTGGCCTCCAAGACCCCTCTTCCTGTTGATCCTGCGGTTCACATGCCAGGACTGCTCAGAAGAGAGCGATACGTGCGGGAGGTACCGTACGGCTACGAGATCCTCGTTGAGAATCTCTTCGATCCCAGCCACTTGTCCTTCGCCCATCACGCCCAAGGTACGATGATGTACAGGCAAAAGGGGGCGCCTTTGGACCTAGAAGCGTCCTCGAAGGGTCGTGAGGGTTTCGTTGGGCAGGGTTGGGATACCACACTTCGCCCTGGCATGTTCTACGTGGAGTTCCAAGCTGCCAGTAGGGTGACACACCGGAGGGAATGGAACATCGGGGGCAGAGATGTGACCGCCATGAACACGTTTTATGTCACGCCCAGTGAGCCGGGACGTTCTCTTCTGATCATTGGAGACTCGTTCACACATGTCCCAGACACCGAGGTGTCAGTAGGATCGCTGATGCGCAAACTGCATCAAGCTATCCGTACGAAGATGAACGCTTCCCATTTGTTCCTCAATGCCTTCCTAGATGGCGATTCATACTTGCTGCACGTGGCCGAAAAGAACCTCAACAGGATGAAGATGCAGCGCAACAAAGAGTGGAACGAAGCGTACTACCTGCCCACCGCTTCGGATCGCTGGGTCATTGCTTTCAGGCAATGGTTGCACAAATACGCTGGCGGTGGTGTAAAGTGGGCAACTGGGGCCACTTCTCCCGCTCCTAGGACCGCCGGTGCTACCGGGTCGCCGGATAAAGATGTGGATAAGATTGTGGATGAGGCTGCGCTTACCGTTTTGTCTCCTCGGGAGGCCCTGGACCGGTACCATCAGCACACGGCCAAATGCCAAGCCTGCTTGAGGTTGCTCAACTTCTACAGAACCCTACAGAAGGCCCTTTGTATCGCCTGCGTCCTGTTGGTCTCTATCGCCGCATGCCTTTCGGGCCAGACGGTGCCCCCCATCGTCGCTAGCAGTGGGGCGAATGGCCCTATGGCTGCTACAGCTGCAGCTGTGTCCTCGTCAGGAGGGAAACTCTTGGGGGTATCCCTCCCCCTTGTCATTCGGGTTGTGTTGGCCATCCTTTCCGTTGGGGCAGCTATTGGGGCCCTCAAGCTGGAGGACTATATCCAGAATTTCATCTACAAGGGGTACAACCACGCCCTGGTTCCCTAGGTACAGCTTTGGTGGAGAGAGTTCGGGTGTGCTGTGTTCATTTCATTCTACTGTCCATACAGATCGAGGTCCGCCGGGTGAATAGATGATGAATGCCAATCTCACATGCCCCTTTGTGTTCTCTTCACTGAGCATTGGATAAATGCATGTCACCTGTTGTTTCTTGCGGATCTGCCAGCAGCACTGAGGAGGGCAAGAACATCTCTCTCTCTCTCTCTCTCTCTCTCTCTCTCTCTCTCTCTCTCTCTCTCTCTGTGTGTGTGTGTGTGTGTGTGTGTGTGTGTGTGTATGTGNTCTCTCTCTCTCTCTCTCTCTCTCTCTCTCTCTCTCTCTGTGTGTGTGTGTGTGTGTGTGTGTGTGTGTGTGTATGTGTGTGTGTGTGTGTGTGTTACATGCTGCGCCTGCACACGAGGGCCATTTTCCAGGCCCTGCGTCGTTCAGGCTGGAAGCCTGAATTTCAGGCTCAAAGCCTGAAAATAAGGGCCTGCAGAACCCATGACGGGTCAGCCCGAATGCCTGGCACCCGGGGCCAACAGGCCCTGCATCGTTTCAGCCAAAAAAGGCCTGAGCCTTTTCAGCCTGAAACTGAGGGTTATTTTCGGGTCTACAGGCCCCATGACGGTTCAGCCGAAAAGCCTGACATCCAGGGCCCACAGGCCCTGCATCGTTTCAGCCTAAAAAAAGGCCTGAGCCCTTTTAGCCTGAAACTGAGGGCTATTCTGGGGCCCTCGTCAGACCGGCCTGCCCTGAAACAAGCACATTCGGGCATTGGCGGGAGTGACTTGCCCCGAAGCTTCCTCAGGGGCTAGCATGTTCAGTTATTGGCAAGAGCAGCCTCCTGGACGGTCCTGGACGGGCCAGCACTATATAAGACTGGCCCGCCCCACAGGTTGACACACAGACGAGAGGAGACTGCCCAGGCACTCGACGTACACTTCTACAGGCAGGGAGTAGTCTTCAGCATTCGGCAGCAGCACTCTAGAGGAGTGCTGCAGTAGTAGTGGTAGTGTTAGCTCTAGTCATCGGCGCTGGGCGCTAGTAGGAGGTAGAGTAGCGTTGGAGGGAGACAGAGATTGGGCGGAGGCCAGGGAGACTTACCTGCAGCGCGATAGCTCCAGCTCGCCATCGAGGTACCTGCAGCACAGCGCCGTCATCACAGGTCAGTACCTGGCACTTGGAAGAAAGAGAGAGAGAGAGAGAGAGTTCTTCTTCTTCCTCTTCTCAGTCCACCATCTCTCCCTTACCCTCTCGCTACCTGACTTCACTGCACCAGCAGACTGCGAGAGTGAGAGTGGATACTTACAGAGGATACAGGCAGAGGTTGCAACGGGCATGTGGCCCAGGATCTGATTTGACATTCTTGAGGTAGACATTGTTTGGACGTCGGCAAGGGACTGTTTTGGACTTTGCTATTGCGATATCGATCTTCTCCCTCGCCTCCATCTTCGTCCTTCCTCCCCCCTCCATCTCTCATCCGTGGTATCTCCCCATGTGCATGTAAAGGGAGGGACCTTATTCTGTGTATGCAGTCCCTCCTCTTCTTCTCACATGTGTGATGTCTGATGGGATGTCGTGACAGTCCAGGTCAGATCAGGACTTATTTCAAAGTCTTCCGCTGTGCTATCAAATGCCATTTTTCATGTATCGGGATGTACATTGTCTGTTGATGTTTCACTAACAGTACTGTAACCTTGTCCATTCAGTCCTTTTCATCACATTGCGGATCCTTGACTGAACACATAGCCCAACTGGGCATGTAACAGTTGGTATTGGAGCACCGCACGTGAAACGGGACAACCTGATCCGACACGTGTGCGGGGGACTAATTAGTTGATTAGTCTCGATTGATTGATTGACTGATTAGAGTACACTAGATAGCCCCCAAAATCACGATTTTGACTTAACTGCCGAAAATCGAGATTTTTTTTTATTTTTTTTTTTTTCTCTTTCTTGGATTTTGTTTTCCCGCTATTTCTGTTGTGGAAAATCGCAATAGCGCAACACCTGAAATTTCCGTTTTTTTTCTGAAAATTCGAAATTTCATTGTTGGAAATCCAGAATATCTTTTTTTAAAAATTTCGATTTTGCATTTCCCGTTACTTAGAAATCCGGAATACTCTTTTTCGGAATTCGTTTTTTTTCAAAACGGCACGGGAAAATCCTTCTGGCAATTACCACTTTCCAAACTGCGCACACTCTCATCTAAGTAATTCCGAATATTTTTTTACTTTTCATTTGCAGTCTTGAAGTCCGAAATTTTTTTCTTCTCTCAGTTGTATTCCGCATTTCGAGGGATTGGGGGAGCTTGCTGAACTTGCAAATGAGTGAAAACAAGATTGCCTTCCTCCTCTCCCATCTCACGGACCTCCTGGCAACGTGCATCGCACAACAGGAGGACATTCATAGCCTCGACGCCGAGGTCAAACGCGTCCGCAGCCGCCTTCAGCAGGTGGAGCAATGACCTGTCGCCGCCCCCGTTGCGCTACTCAACAATTGGAGCAGCGGGTCTGTGCTGCCGCAGCCAGCCCGAGTTCGGGACAACACGAGTCAACTCCCAAGTTTGACGGTCAGGAGATCTTCTGCGATTCAACAAAGACGGCCAGTTCAGTGGTTCCGCAAGTTTGAACTCACGTTGCGGCTGCATCTCGTCAGCGAATGCAAGCATTACGCGTACTTATACTCCCGGTCGGGAGGCGCATGCCAGGCATAGCTGGACAATCTCTTGTCCCAGTACGGGGTGGTCGCTGCCAAGTTACACACGAAGATCAGCTGGGAAGACCTGAAGGCGGCGTGGCATAAGCGGTTCCAAGTAGAGCCGCCGGAGATCAAGGTCATGAACAAGCTAATGACCTTCGAACAAGGCTCGATGTTGAGTGTCGACTGGATTGCCGAGTACCAACGCTTGACATTCGTCCCAGGTCTCCCGATGGGCTTCAAAGTCATCAAACACTACTTCATCTCGAGGTCGTGTCCGGTGTTGAGCAACGCCTTGACTCATGTCGAGGACACACTGACGACGTCGGCAGAACTTTTCGACAAGGCCGCACAGATTATTGTCACGAACAAGGAAGCCAAGAACCTCAGTCGTTCGTCTGCAGCAGGCCCGAGCAGGGACCAGCATCGGCCCAAAGTGACCGTGGTCGCCGCGGCATCGCCAAGCGACCAATCTAGCGAGGTCGGGTTTGCCAATGAAGGGGACAGACTCGCAGCTGCCTGGGATGGTGGCCGCCCCGGCCGAGGCCGAGGACGCGGCAAATCGAAGACACACACCACATCTACCCCCGAGCCCGGTGCAACAGCTCAAGCCCTATGAACCCACTACGGTCTCTCGGAGCAAGCCTACAAGCAACGCACGAGATACCGATATTGTTTGTGGTATAACAGCGATTGCCACGAGACAGCGGGCTGCCCAACGAAAGGCAAGGGCAAACAAGAAAACTGAGCGACGCCGAGAGTGGCTTGACGACACTCTCGACGCCTTCGGAACCGGTTTCTTCGCGAGTAACTGACCTTCATTCCGGGGCGCATGTGGAAGTCGATAGTCCTCCTCTTCTCTATTTTTTTGAGGACTATGCTGCCCGGCTCGTTCCTACGCTGGGTACTTTTGCTCAAGGATAAGACGTGTATGCGGAATCTTCTCCATCCAACAGCGGTTCATTATGGTCTTCAGGTGGTTCTTCACGGGATTCGGCGCGCGAGTTCAACATAGAGGTATTGGACCCGCTCACGTCTGAGGATTTTGCATGGCTTCCTCTCCCGACCACGGGCCGCTTGCCGGAAACGTAATGCGCATCACTCTGCGCTCATCTTCATAAGTTTTTGTCCTTCTATGCACCACCAACTTCGCCGATGGATGACGAGGTCGTGGTGGGGGACATCTTGGCGTATGTTACCAAGGTGGCCCGCGAGTTTCGCACGCAGCGGTACGACGACAACAACGCACCACTGATGTATGTCCGCATCCAAGTTGGGCAAGCATCCTACAACGCTTTGCTGGATAGCGGCGCGACTTGCAATTTTATGAGCCAAGCCTTTATGCAAAAGGCTGGCCTTGGCGCACAAGTTCGGAGGAAGGCAAACCCAACGGTGATCAAGTTGGCGGATGGTAAGACACAACAACTTCTCGACCGTTACATCGAGGCCGTACCGGTGTATTTTGCACCTCATGCATGCGAACCGGTCACGTTCGACATTTTGGACACGGACTTCGACATTATTTTGGGAATGCCTTGGCTTGCAAGTGCGGATCACACGGTCAACTTCCACCAACGGACTCTTAACGTTGGCAACGCCTTCAGCATCGAAGTGTCGTGTACCATTCCTCTTCCGCACCCTTCGATCCGGTGCCAAGTAGTGACGGCTAAGTCATTCCGGGCTACTTGCGCCTACGAGCAGCCCGAGGAGATAGGCCTATGTTTCCTACGAACCGTCGCGGTAGCCGACTCTTCCCCCACGGACTTGTCTTCGGACCCCCGTGTGGTGCGGTTGCTCGATGAGTTCGCCGACATCTTCGAGTCACCTACCGGTGTGGTGCCGGATCGGCCGATCTCTCACGAGATCATTCTTGAGGTCGGTGTCGTGCCGCCAAAAGGTTGCATCTATCGGATGAGCAAGGAGGAACTTGAGGTCCTTCGTACACAACTCGACGACTTGTTGGCCAAGGGCTGGATCTGCCCGAGTAGCTCCCCATATGGAGCACCAGTTCTTTTTGTACGAAAGAAGAACAAGGATCTATGTCTGTGCATCGACTACCGCAAGCTCAACGCGCAAACCGTCAAGAATGTGGGGCCTCTTCCTCGTATCGACGATCTTCTTGAGCGATTGGGCGGTGCCAAGTACTTTCCCAAGTTGGACTTGAAGTCGGGGTATCATCAAATTTTGATACGCCTGAATGATTGCTACAAGACCGCGTTCAAGACACGGTATGGGCATTTTGAGTGGGTGGTCATGCCTTTTGGCCTCACCAATGCCCCGGCAACCTTCCAAGCGGCAATGACCAACGAGTTCCGTGCGATATTGGATCGGTTCGTGCTGGTCTACTTAGACGACATTCTCGTCTATAGCCGGACCTTGGAGAATCATCTTGAGCATCTTCAACGAGTGTTGGAGACGCTCCGCCGTGCCAAGTACAAATCCAACCGCGACAAGTGCGAATTCGTCCGGCAAGAGCTTGAGTACTTGGGCCATTTCGTCACGCCGGAGGGCATCAGCCCGCTATCGGAAAAGATTCAAGCCATCTAAGAGTGGTTGGAGCCACGTAACGTCACGGATGTTCGTTCGTTCCTTGGCCTTGCCGGCTACTATCAGCGCTTCATCAAGGGTTATTCGAAGATCGGGGTGTCGGCACGGATACCCTGACAAGGGTATCCACCCTGGTTTTTGTGAGTGAAAAAAAATAAGCTTGGATTAGACCGTGTGAGGCGCGGCCGTAACTACGACCTATTTTTTATTTAGGAATTTGACTAAGAAAGAAGTTGAGTGGGCGCGCAGTTTTAAGGCGCGCTTGTGATTCTTCTGTTTGATTGTGCAGCCGACTTAGTTGACCGGTTTCATTTTTGCTATAGAGGAGAATAAGGAATAGGAGGCTTGTCTTCGTTCAGCACGTTGGCCAGTGGTAGGCTTGGCGTAAGAAGTAGAGCGCGAGGTAGCCATGGCACCGATTGAGCAAGCTAGCGAGGATGCTTAGCGGCCGTGTGCTTAGTTGTAGGTGAGAATGAGGCCAGGCTGGGCGCTGCGCCGCATCATCTTTTATTGAATTTCGCGCAAGCCAGTCTCAGGTTTGGGCTTAGCCCTATAGGTTACGACATTGGATTGCTGCGGCGGAGGTACGGGGTTCGAGGCCGGCGAGCGACGGCATGGGAGCGGCGGAGCACGAAGGGGACCGAGGGGTAGAGGGTCCCGCGGGACTATCCCCCTTGGTTTTGTCGAGGAAGCCCCGGTGGCAAGCCCGCAAAAAGGGGCCTGGAGAGGCGCCGCGCTGATCCCAACCCCGTTGTGCCTCTTATGACAATCGTCAGTCTGATATTCCTATTTTTTTTTTTTCAATTATTTATTATCATTATTTATCATCGTTGTTTTGTTTACCCGGTTGGTTGCATTCCGGAGCATCTTGAGCCTATGACGTGCGGCGTAGATGCGGCTGCTGCAGTCCGAGAGGTCGATGTCAAGGGCCTGTAGCCGTTGCGGTCCGAAAGGTCAACGATTGTTCGGAGGTGACCCCTGGTGGGCCAGAGCAGATAGTCGAAGGTGGCGAGTCTGCCGGTGCTGAGTTAGTAGTGCCCAGTCCCAGTCTCCCCAAACCCGGTCAGGCGATGTTGTGGGGGACGGTGGGTACGCCGGGCCTGATGAGAAGAGGGCAGGGCGGTACCTCATAAAAGTATAAATCAAGTGGCTGCGCCTAGCTATTCGTCCATTCCTGCGTAAGCTATGAGGAAGTGCTAACACAGTGGCTCGTACGTTGACGGTCTGCGGAGCCCGACGTCGAACAGCGAGTGGCCATAGCATAGAGACGGCGGCAGACGCCGTTGCCATAGCTCTCGAGATAGCGTAGGCTGGGCAGGTCCAGAGGGCGGCATGCGGGGGACTCAGCAGGACCAACAGTTTGCATAGGAGTGTACGAACGGGAAGTGCAGTGCTAGGGTGGGATGGTGGGCGATGTGCGCCAGTAATCTTGGTTGAGGATCTGCGGAGACTATACCGTTGATCTATGGTTGTGGGCGTTAGTCGTCCACACGACGTGCCTTTCGGTTGCATGCACGAAGGGCAGGCGAGGAAGCAAGCCGTGTTGTGTTAGTATTGGAGCTGATACCCGCTGTTCGCTGAGATGGAGGGCATGGTTGTTTTTGTCGATGACTGAGTTGTGGGGGCTAGGCGCCATCGCCATCTGAGATGGACCCGTGCCTGTATGCAGTGCTAAGTTATCACGTCGCTAAGCTTCGAGGGTGAGCGCTCAGCGCCATATTCCTCCGACTAAGGCCGGGGGTCGGACCACGCTGTGAGCTGCTGTATCTGCAAGTTTGGGGTGGGGAGTTGACCACCGCGGTGGCATCTTTTGCATGCATAGCTGACGAAACAACGATCCGTGTGTACTGGCTCAAGGGAGGGTACCTGTCATCCCGCAGGTCTTAGGACGCTGTGCGCCATAGCCATCTAGGGGTGTGCATTCGGACGGTGCGCTAAGCAGCCATAATTGTCGAGTTGAGTCTGGGCCTTGTGTTCGGAGCTGCTTCGTTGTTGGCCTTCGGGTTTGGGCGCTGGTCGCCAGTTTGGTGCGTTTCCGACTTACAGACATGAGAAGGGGGTGTGGTGCACCACCGCTGTCCGAAGAAGTTTGTAGCCGACCGAGGTAGTCGTCAGCACTGTCAGGTTTATGAGCTGTGGGTGCGGTCTGAGCGCCATAGTCACCTAAAGGGGGCTTGCAATCGAGCTGTGTTTTTTGGCTCCCTGAGTGTGTATGCTTACGTATCTTTGGGTTTTGGGTGGAGTTGTTGACCGCCAGTATGATGTAGACCGTCGTATGGGTAGAGTGAGAGAGAGAGAGACAGTGGGGTTGATTGAGGTGGCATCGAGGCTGGTGCCCGTTACCCCGCGTGTGTGCGCTACTGGATTGGTGATCGTCGAAGTGAGGCGCTGGGAGTTATTATTGTTTGTCAGGAGTTGAGGTTCGATTTGCACGTCAGGCTGTTATATCTCCGTGCTCTAAGTCTAGGCGCCGGATTCCCGCCGGCCACATTTCTGAATTTTGAGTTCGGGAGTTGCATCCCGAGATCTTTTGAGGGGAGGCGGTGTTCGGGTTGGGTATTAGATTGCTTTGTTTTCAAGCCTTGGATGCTGGGCACCGTTGCCGCCTGTCGAGGAACGGTGTTCGGGCTATGCCCAGGGCTGCCATGTCCGCAAGTGGTGAGTCTGGGCTGTGAGTATGGGTGCTGTGTGTGGTAACTAGTTGTGAAAGGTTTGGAGTCGGACTGTGCTCGTGAATTGTTGAGTATTGGAGCTCTGATTCTGGGCGCTGTGCTATGGTCTGCTATTCCTCCGAATGTTGGGGTGGAGCATCGGGTTCCAACCTGCCATATCTGCGAGGCTTGGGATTGGGTGTCGTGGTCAGGGTTGCCATACCTCTGATCTGTGAGGACCGGGGTTAGAACCAGGAAGTACGCGAGTATGGTTGTACTGGCACCGGAGCTAGGGTCCGCCATCCTACGTTGCGGGGCACAGAGATAGAGGGACACCGCTACAAGAGTAGTCTGTCATAGCTGTGCTGAGGAGAGGGACGACGAGTACCTGTACAGGGAGAAAGAGGAAGGACTGAGCAGAAAGGGAGGCACGTGCCTGGAGTTGGCGGCGGTCTGCCGTGTTAGTAGCCTTCGAACTGGGCATTTTGTGGGTTGTCAACCTGCAGGATTGGCATCTGCAGGCGCTGCTGGCATGGCCGTTGAAGTAATTCCTGGAGGAGGGGCTGCTGCTGCACCTGCTATTACTGCCACTGCTGCTGGGTTAGCTTTTTCGAGGGTAGTGTTGTGGCTGTTGCGGAGCTTGCTAAGGAAGGAGGTCTAGTGTGCAGAGAGGGAGTGCAGGGAATTGAGAGTTCATCACGCAGACCGGTTATACAGTTGACCGGAGGTGGACCAAGCGGTTTGTACTTGGCCACCATTGCAGGGCCCTCAGGCGATGGAAGGTAACAAGGCCCTCTCCTGAGAGTTGAGTTGTCCCTCCTTTGTATCTCGAGCATCTGAAACCCCTCATTCTGCCCTTCTTACTCTAAGTCTGATCTTGTTCTGAAAGGAAGGCTGCAGGCGGGATTGCAACCCGTAGGACCGCAGCAAGGCCTACGTGGGAGGTTACCCCACCGATTACGGGAGCTCTGCCGGAACTTAGGAGGAGTTTTGGAAGCAGGGAACTGAAAAGCAACCACCCATCGCCCTTTATAAATGCAGACTATAGCCCCTATTTGTACTACCCATTGCATGTTTGACTGAGTATATAGTGTGCAACCCTACTTTGACTTGTTGTTTGACTTTCAGGACATGCATCAGGTAAAGTAAAAGAATGCATGCAAATCTCGGTTTCAGTTTTGTTAATTGAATGAAAGCAGATTGGAAAGGGAAATTGCATCTGGGAAAGGGCCAAATGGAAAGTAGTTTTTGCGTGAGGTTTCGATGGGTTATCAAGGCTGGGAGGTCCCCATAAGTTTGGGAAGACCCAGTGCTTTGTTTATTTTGGATTGTATGGAGCGTCAGACCATTCTATAAGTTTAGGTGGTGTGATTGCTCTGGAGGCTGGGAAGTCCCCATAAGTTTGGGGAGACCTAGTATTGTGAAATTGCCTTGAGAACCAGACCATTTTATAAGTTTAGGTGATCTGGTTGCTCTGACTTGCGAGGGCTAATTGTGATTGGCTTTTTTCAGGGACCAAGTGCATTCTGTAAGTTCAAGTGCCTTGCTGGCCTTCTTTATTTTGAATTTTCCTCTGTTTATTTGGTTCTGAACGAGGAGGACTGAGTCATTCTAAGCTTAGGTGACTCAGCCTCTGCCTGCTTTATTCTGGGGAAAATGAACTTAACAGAGAGCATACCATTCTATAAGTTTAGGTGATCAAGCCCAATGCCACGCACAAATTGGATCAGAGAGGAACGAATCAGGCAGAGAGTCAGACTGTTCTGTAAGTTTAGGGGGTTTGACTTAAAGCCTCGCACATGCTGGAACCCAAAGGTTATAATTTAGCTATATTCTATTACTACTTTATTTAAGAATAGGCTAGTCAGACTACTCTATAAGTTTAGGTAGTCTGACTATAGTTTATCACAATGTTAAAGAGAGTATAATTAAGAATATAATTGATGGTAAGATGGGGCAGGCTGAACTTAAGTTAGTTAAGTCCTATGCAGCCTTAGAAGACAAAGGGAAAACGGGTACATATAATCTGGATAGTTTAAATAGTTTAAGGCGACTAAAATGGTTTAGTCATATGTCCAAAGAAGAGAGAAGTAGTTGTGCCCTTTATTCTGTGTATACTCGTTGGCTAAGTTAAGCTCATTCCATAAGTTTGGGTGGCCCGACTTTATGCCTGGCGAAGAAAGGCGCATTCCATAAGTTTGAGTGTCCTGGCCTTATGCCTTATGTAAGCTGGGTATAAAGGGTTAAACCATTGAAAGATCATGAACCACTGTTTGTTCAGATAAACTTGGGATGGTGAGAGTACTTACCTTTGTGGTTTGGCTTGCATATGGCTGAATGAGATGACTATTTGGTCTGAGTTTCAATTTGATAGGTAGTTGCTTTAGTTGCTTGCCACGTGCTAGAGCCATAGGAGT